CATAGTCCTTCTAGGGTTGCAAAATAAGTTGCAACTATCATATCTCCTTGTCTCAATGCAGCAATGTCTTGGTTTAGCCTATAGATTCCTGCATTGTTCTTTCTCTGTCCATAAGTTTTAGACACTTTCTCCCAAATCTTAGCAGCAGTGGGAAAGTGTTGAACAGTCCTGGCCACTCTTGGAGTCATTGAAGCAAGCAGCCAGGACATAACAGTAGCATTTTCCTTACGCCATATTGCGTACTCCACACCACCCTCTTTAGGTTCCTGTTTCTGTCCATCTAAATAACCCGTAAGTTCCCAGGAAGTAATGAAGAGCATGGCTGAAACAGATCATTCTCTGAAGTTATATTCGTCCAACAATACACTGGTGATCTGCAAGTTGTGCAGACTTGGGTTTTCTAGATTAGAAGACCTCCCACCAGTTCTATTATCCTTAGAAGACACTTCTCTTGATATTGAAGACATCTCCTTCCTCTTACAGTGATCACAATTGAAATCTCAGTACAAAGAACACGATTTCAGACTTACCGAAGCTGTTACAAGTCTGAGAACCCCCCGTAACAGGTCTGAAGCACCTCTGTAACAGTTCAGAAACCAAGAACAATCCACCCCTGTACTGTATTGAACACTTCTGGGCTGGTCTTTGACTTCTGTTGTCGTAGCTGTAGCCGAGGGCAATACCTCTTTGGCACCTCTGGTGGTCGAACCTAGACTGTGACCACCCTTACGATCTGTACTAGGACTGTCTAACTCAGTCCTTCCACCTAGATCTGTTCCACATAGATCTCTCTTAGCAGCCGAATGGCTACTACCTGCTGCAGGATTTCTAGTCGGGCATCAGCTTCTGGAACAAACTCCCCTTGGGCCCTACAACCAAGAGAAATCCTAGATACAGACCTTGCTGTGTTCTACGATCAGCCCTAGGGTTTCTTCACAGTGGCTGAGATAGGAGAGAGAAAAAATAAGGAATAGAGAAGTGGAGAAAAGAGGCGACTGTAACCAGTCAGACCGATTAGTGCTCTGATACCATGTTTTCTGGAGAACAGCAGCCGAAGAAGAAGAAGAAGAAGAAGAAGAAGAAGAAGTAGAAGAAGAAGAAGAAGAAGAAGAAGAAGAAAGGAGATCTGAGAATGGCGGCTTAGTCACTTCAGCCGGCCCTAGAATCTTATATAAGTATTCACAATGTAATGTTACAAGAAAGCACTAGAATGCCCCTGATTAGTGATGGGACACCTAGACATAAAAGGAATAAAACAAATTTAGGCCCAATAACTAAGGCCCATAATAAGCTCAAGAACTTAAAACATAAATAAGACGAACATAAACACTGAACCAATTGAACCAACACTAAGCTTGTAACTTGGGCAGGGTAGGTTGGTCTTAGGGCCAACCTAGGCCCAGGACTAAGAGTTATATCAAGGACAAGGCTGATCTCAAGAATAGAAAAGCCTGAATTGGCCAATTAATATAATTTTTCTTTGTTTTTCAGGACGATGGGTCTTTGGTTTCCATATTTTCTCTTTCAGGAAGTAATGCCCAGGATGGACACTTAGCTGCTGGCCGTAATGGTGTCAGGCGCCTCAGAACGGTATGCAACCAAATGATTATTATAATAACAGCTTTGAACACCAGCAATTAAGATATTTTATGCAGTGTTTAACTGATAACATTGCAATCAACATCAAATTGGCACTGCGAATTTTGATCCATAAATGAAATGTCAATCGTTGGTTTGTGTTAAAAATTTGAAAGTAAATATCAATATTTTCTTTCCTTCTAAGTGGTGGACACTTTCTACTGTGTTTAATTAGTCAAAGCATCAGGTCTCATACTCTCATTGCATATCTCATAGCATGCAGCCATTCTTTTTGTTTTTCTGCAGGTCATGTTACTCCTTTGTAGATTTGAATAATCTCTTGAGATTGTTGCACATGCTATGTACATATCAAAAGTCAAAACCTGATTCTGAAACAACATTCTAAGACTATTTCAAAAATATTTCTAACTTGAGTATATAATGAAATCATATTGTCTATATCGTTAGGGGAAATCCTTTTATATCTAAGAAGTTGATTGTATACCCTTTTCAGTTAGTAGTTGATACGAAGGCTTAGAGACTCCTTTTGCCATGAGTTTAGAAGTGACAGTTTTTAGTTTCAACCTCAATTAGACAGTTTCGTAATGAAATAAGAGCTTACTCTTACTTATTCTAAAGGATGTCAGAAACAGCATTGCACTCTTCATGAGTGAATGGTGTTTGTACTGTAGAATCCATAATGCCTTGGAGTCACCCTTACATGATATATTTGCCCCCCGCCCCCCCTGAAGTAAAAATGGAAACAGAAGTATTTCTTATGCTCTTTGCATGATTGTCATACGAGCCTACACACACACACACAAAAAAAAAAAAACCCTACACACCATTTTACAGAATGGTTGCTATACATTGCTTGTGCATCTGGTAAAAATCAACCCCATGTGACTGCCTGAGCTACCAGGTTGATGCCTGCTTTGGTCACTAGGACATTTGTACTACTTAGATTTGCAGATATAATGCTTAGCAACACTTTTTTTTTTTGCAGATTCTCTCAGTATAATTTGCAGCCATATCTCCATTTCATTGTTTCACTTTCCTGTTCTGTGACTTCCAATTCAAGAATCTGTTTATAATGTTTTGCAGGTTAGGCATCCAAATATCTTATCATTTCTTCGCAGCACCGAGGCTGAGACTTTTGATGGTACAGTTATGAAGGTTACCATCTACATTGTAACTGAGCCTGTCATGCCACTTTCCGAGAAGATAAAAGAATTAGGTTTAGAAGGTACTCAAAGGTATATAAAGTCTTCTTTGCTGGATTAATCTTTTCTTGTGTTGTTGTAGTAATTTAATGAGTTTGATAGAATTTTTCCTCAGGAAATTGCAGAATTCATTCTTGCTGTAGTGGTGTTAACAATAGTTAACTAAAATTGAATGAAAAGAGAAATTTTGAGGAATTGAGAGTCCAGTTCTATTTTGTCCAAGAATCATAAAAATACAGAAAATAAAATAATCATTTACACAAGTAACTCCATATATACCCATTGAATAAAATTCCGTGTATTTACTGTTTTGTGTTCTATATATTCATACATGCTACTAGGTCAAGTGCATTCATATAAATTGCAATTTGATCATGATGTTCACAGGCAGGCCATCACCAAATAAAACAACCACAGCTTTAACCCCAAGAGCATCATTACAGACAATGGTAGAATAATATTTGAACTAAGTTAATAATCATAGGCTTATATAATCCATATGTTCATACTTGAATGAAAAAAAAAGTTCTAGTTTTATCTTTCAACAAGATATATATATATATATATGTATATATGTGTGTGTGTGTGTGTGTGTGTGTTTTATTGGTAATTGTGAATGCATTATGTCAAATATAAATGTGATCAAATGTGAGTACAAGGAACCTAATGTGAAGAATAGGAATCAAGATCTGCCTAGGGTTTGTTGGCATGCACCTTATACAAACTTTACCAAAAAAAAATGTCCATTAGGCTGATAGCGTCAATCCTTGCCTTCTCTCTTACTGCATCCCTTAGATGATATATATTTTTTAATTACTAACAGATTTTATTAATGAAACAGAAAAATATGTACAAGTACAGCTTCCCTGGGGGAGGCAGACCTCATCCCAGTATAAGTAATTACAACTGTGCCCAATACAATTCACCCCTGTTCACCTCTTGCTTAGCTAATGTGTCAGCCAGCCCGTTTGCAGATCTTGATACCCACTGTATTCTTCTCAGCTTATTCCGTTCTAGCCCTTTAATCTTTTTTAGCCATCCAACCACCATTTGAGAATCACCTTCAATAATTATCCTGTCAACATTCATTTCTTTTGCCTTTTGTGTTCCAACCAATACAGCAAGGTGTTAAACTCTTGTATAGTTCCCAATCCCAATAGTGCCTGAGAACAATGCTAAGATATGGCCTTCCTTGTCTTTGAAAACCTCTCCCACACCTGAAGGACCCAGGTTACTACAGCTATTCCCATAAAAATTTAACTTGATAAACTCTCCTCCAGTGATACATTCCAGCTGAATTTTAATTGTCCTTGATGAGGATGCAGCCACCTCTCTCCATTTTCTTCTAATGTCATCATAGGAGTAAGAAGAGAACACATTCAATGATTTGATCCAATTTGTCACTCTTATCATAATACATTCCAACACTGCTTCCTTGTTTCTCTCTTTTTCATTAAAGATTCTTGCATATCCTTCTTCTCATATTGACCATACAACAACAACAACAACCCTTATGCATATCCACATAAACATTCTCTCCTCTTCCTTGGCCATCTAAAGGTGCTAGCCTCAAACAGACTGGCAAAGTTGCAAAGTCCACTTGCACCCAAATAAAGAAAAGAAGCATTCCCAAATATAGGTAAAAAACAAGGAATAGGAGATTAGGAGGTGGTAGGTGGTAACTAGTCTCACCTTTTGCCTTACAGAGTATGCAGCGGTTTGGGAATGATGCACCTCCTGGCAAAAGGCCTCAATCTTAGGGGGGACAAGTTCGCATCAAACTTCTTGTATAGGAAAATGAGGAATAATTCTAGAGGAGGGATAAAGGGCCAGAAAGAAAGATGCACAAGAGAAAAAGTCTTTGGGGTAGGAGTCCAAAGCAATATTCTCAAGAAGATGCAATAACTCACTAAGACTGGAAAGTTCAGATTCTCTTAAGCCTCCTCTAAAACCCAAATCCCTGCCAAAACCAATAGCAAAAGGAGAAAAAGAGAAGAATTTTGAGATAGGCACCTTCTTGAAAAGTGAGATAGAATACAAGATAGGGAAAAGGCCTTTAAGAGGGCAATTACCCACCTAAAGGTTTTCCTAGAGCAAGATCTTGTTACTAGAGTAGGCATCATACCTGACAAAATTAAGGAATTGTGGTAGAATAGCATGGATGGCATTCCATGGGGAAGCCAAAGTAGTTCAAGGAGATATACCAACATCCCATCTGTTCACCAATATCCATTGAACACTTGCCACCACCCTGTGCCATAGATTTCCATTTTCAAGGGGCAATCTCCATAACCACTTAACTAGTAAAACTACATTCTTGAGATCTATATTCCCTAGCCCCAAAGCACATTGGTCCTTCCTCTTGCATACAATCTCCCACTTCACCAAATGGTCCTTCTTAGTTCTTACCTTCTCCTGACTCCCACAGAAAGTCTCTCATTAGCTTCTCTAATTTGTTTTCTGTTTTTTGTAGAATCCTAAAAACTGAGAGCTAGTACAAGGGGAAGTTGGCCAAAGTATCTTTTATTAAAGTTATTCTATTCCCCCTCCCAAGGATGTATAGTTTCTATTCCAAGATGCTAGTCATTTCCCAGACCTCTCTACAATCAGATTCCAGAAGCTACCACACCCAAGATTGCCTCCCAGAGGAAGTCCCAAGTTATTCATAGGCCAAATACTAGTTGAGCACCCCAAATCTCTTGCAATGGTAGCTATTTCATTATCATCCATATTCAACCTAGCTACACATCTCTTCTCAAAATTTATCCGCAAGTTCAATATTCTCTTAATGAATCTCATCAACAACTTCAAGTTCCTAACAAGTTGAGGGTTACTACCATACAAAAGATTGTTATGTCATCTGCATATTGAAGGTGAGTAACTACAACGTTATCCCTCCCCACCCTCCAACCTCTGATCAACCCTTGTAATCATTCTACTAAGTACATCCGCAATAAGGGTGAAAAGGAAGGGGGGGGGATAAAGGGTCTCCTTGAGTAGTGACAAGTTTGCATATGACAGCCAGGGAAGAAGTCTCACACTACACCATTTACCAGCATTGAGTAGTGACAAGTTTGGAGACACCCATAGATCCATTTACACCAGCTTTCTCCAAAGCTTCATTTTCTCATCACTTCAAGAATGATTGATCCACCAAATTATAGGCTTTGTCAATGTCTAGCTTGCATACCACTCCTTTCCTCCCAGATCTTTTTTCTTCCACACACTCATTGGCAATAAGAATTTGATCAACAATTTGTTTGTCTCAGATAAAAGCCACTTGGAACTGAGTGGTGATAGGAGGTAGCACAGCTTGAGGTGATAATTATGGCTACTTGATGGGTCTGCCACTAGATACCTGATGCCATTTGTATTTGATCATTTCTTCATATTCTCCTGCTGTAAGAATTCATTTTGCAGCAGTCCAGATTTCAGTAATGTAGGGCAGAAAAGTGCGCGAGGCTCCTACCAGTCCAAATTTCAGTAATGCTTTATATAAATGGGAATGTGGTTATTTCGGAAAATTTAGAAATATGATTTTACCTAACATTCTGCACACATAATGGTTATTTGATAAACGACCATTGAGTAGCCAGTATCCTAGGTGTGTGGTAGCCTATTACTAATAAATATTCTATGCTTCTACTTTCTTAGTGAATGGAAGATGGATTGCCTGAATGGTTAGTGGTCATACCATTAAATATAAAGATAAGGCATGAAATAGGACTCGATCTATCATCTTTTCCACTTTTTTGAATGGAAAGCAAAAGGTATGGTATTAAAGGATAAGATTATGTACACAATCAACATCAAAGCAAAGGATATATGAACCCATCTCCCAACTACACTGGCAATGCAGCTATAATTTTTTTTTGATAATTAATGCAGCTATAAATTCTCAAAACCCAATATTGCCAGGCTTAAATTCTTATTGAAAGAATTTGTGTTCCTTACTTTCAGACAGCTGATAATGTTTTTGGTGGTGTTTGGTTCTGATTGGATCTTGATATTTATCAGCATACAGAAGGTTGAATATGGATTAACATGGATCCCTTCTGGATTCCCCATTTCATGTCCTGTAAATCTGTGCCAGTAGTTCTTTTTCTTTCCCCTATTTAAGAATATTTTCTGTCGTACTCAAATCCATCTTTTTACAGATTACTTGTGTGAAGTTGGGAAACAAGATCTTGGTTTTCTTAGCTCATGTTTATCCTTTTTTCTTTTGATGTCAGGGATGAGTATTATGCATGGGGATTATGTCAAATTGCTAAAGCTGTGAGCTTTCTAAATAATGATTGTAAACTTGTAAGTACTCTCACATGATTGCCATGACACTATGCTGATTCATTTTTGTTGAGTTTTGGGCTGATATTACTTGTTTTTATTTACATAACATAGTTAGGGAGTTATTGGGCCTTAGGCCCATTAGTTTATTTTTAAGTTAAGAGTGCTTATTCATTTTTTACAAGTAGCCGACTTACGAAGGGCATACTTGTCATTGTACCCTCTTTGGGAGGGTTAAGAGATTTTATCCTTCCTCTTGTATCTTTTAATAAAAGTTTCTGTTATTTATCAAAAAAAAATTGTACCCTCTTTTATTTGTGAGTATATAATCTAATTAAAGGGGCAACCAGACCTAATTTTTGGCTTCTCCCATTCTCTGCCATCTCTCATCTCTTTCTTTCTCAGCTGAAACCTTTTCTTCTCTTTCTTTTACAGTTTTTATATCAAAACAGGCCATCCAAACTTTTCTACTTTGTATCAGAGCAAGTTTAAAGATTTTTTGAGCTGCTCCATCATGCAGCCCTAGATCGGCCAGATGCATGATGAGGTAAAGGGCTGATCGAAGACTTCAGGTAAGCCCAATTTTTGGATTTTTTGGTGGATTTGCAATCCCTTGTAGCTGGTCTATGGTTTTAACACCAAAATCAGGAAGAACTGGAGAAAGGGGGAGAGTCATGATTTAGTAGAACTCTTCAATTTTGACCTACGAAGTGGCGCTCTAGTTTTCTAGGGTTCCTTAAGGTTTTTTGAAGGGGATGGTTCAAGTTCCAGCCTTCTTTGGAGGTCTCTAGAGGGAGCAACGGTTTCTTCTCTCTCTTCTCCCGCTCCCACAGAAAAGGGAATCTTTGGAGGAAGGGGCTTCTAGGGTATTAGGAAGGTGTTTGAGGTTTCTAAAGGAGATAAATACCTTTCTGTTCATCTCAAGTTGATTTCCTAATCTATTTTGGGAGTTATGAAGGGTTGTCGAGTTGAAAGCAAATTTGCAGGTGAAATGGGATCTAGGGGAGGAGGTGATGGAGACCTCTTCAGGACCGGGACCATCACTATAGTTAAGTTGGATGGTACAAACTACTTAGAATGGTCACAATTTGCAAAGATGGCCATTGGTGCTCGTGGGAAATTGGGGTATGTCACCGATGATGAAAAGAAACCTGAAACTAACCACTCCCGATGGGTATAGGAGAACTACATGGTGATGACTTGGATTTGCAATTCCATGTTACCCATTTTACACTATCTTTCCTACAGTGGATTATCTCCTTCCTACCGAGCCTTCCTTTCATCCCTTGACTCCGTGTCTATACCCAGGAGTGTTAGTGAGGCTCCTTCCAAACCTGAGTGGAAGACAACAATGCGGGAGGAAATGAAAGCATTGATTAAAAATCAGACATGGGAGATTGTGGATTTACCTGATGGCAAGGGGACAGTTGGATGTAGATGGGTTTATACAGTGAAGTATAAGGCTGATGGGAGTATAGAAAGGTACAAGGCAAGGCTGTTTGCAAAGGGTACAGTCAGACTTATGGCATAGATTACTTGGAAACTTTTGCACCAGTGGCAAAGATGACTTCAATATGGATTCTTCTATCACTAGTAGCTACATACTCTTGGCCACTCTTCCAACTTGATGTGAAGAATGCTTTTCTCAATGGGGACTTGCAAGGGGAGGTGTATATGGATATTCTAGTTGGCTTCTACAATGATGTGGAAAAAGGAAAGGTATGCAGGCTGAAAAAGTCTATATGGTTTGAAGTAATCACCCAGAGCTTGGTTTGATAGGTTTAGAAGTGCATTGGTTGCATTTGGCTATACTCATGCTCAATCTGATCACACTCTTTTTGTAAAAAGGAGGGGGTCATTGGTGTCAGTTTTGATAGTGTATGTGGATGACATTGTAGTCATAGGAAATGATCTGAGTGAGATTGATACCTTGAAGAAGAATCTACATAGAGTTTGAGATTAAGGATCTTGGGGAGCTGAAGTACTTTATGGGCATTGAGGTGGCAAGGTCCAAGCATGGGATCTTTATCTCACAGAGGAAGTATGTTCTAGATCTACTACAGGAGACATGAAAACTTGGGGCAAGGGCAACTGATACACATATTGATCAGAACCACTGGATAAATGCTTCAGAAGGTGAACTAGTGAATGATGTTGGAAGGTATCAGAGTTTAGTGGGGCGGTTTCTATACTTATGTATGATAACACCAAACATCTCTTATGCAGTGAGTGTGGTGAGCCAATACATGCATGCCCCACGAGTTCAATATTGGGAGGCTATTGATAGGATACTTTCCTATTTGAAGGGACACCCATGTAGAGGCATATTGTTTGCTGACCATGGACAATTGAAGTTAGAAGCTCACACGGATGCTGATTGGGTAGGGTGTCTAGATGATAGGAGATCGACATCAGGGGTTTGCACTCTTGTTGGAGGTAATCTAGTTTCATGGAAGAGTAAGAAATAGACAGTTGTGGTAGGGTCAAGTGCGGAAGCTGAATACAAAGCCATGGAACATGGTGTTTCAGAGCTCCTTTGAATCCGTACCTTGTTAGGGGAGATTAGAGTTTAGGCCGAAGAACCTATGGTGCTATATTGTGACAATCAAGCAGCAATTAACATTGCCACAACCTAGTTTAGCATGACAGGATGAAGCATATAGAAGTGGATAGACACTTTATAAGGGAAAGGGTGACATTTGGAGAAGTTTGCTTACCATATGTTGCATCTGACTTGCAGCTTGCTGATGTTCTTACTAAAGGTGTTGCAAGAAACAAGCTGGAGCATGATCTACGTTGGGAATGGGTGACATTTCTTCCCAACTTGAGGGGGAGTGTTGAGTTTTGGGTTGATAGTACTTGTTTTTATTTACATAACATAGTTAGGGAGTTATTGGACCTTAGGCCCATTAGTTTATTTTTAAGTTAAGAGTGCTTATTCAGTTCTTACAAGTAGCCGACTTACTAAGGGCATACTTGTCTTTGTACCCTCTTTTATTTGTGAGTATATAATCTAGTGAAAGGGGTGACCGTCTAGACCTAATTTTTGGCTTCTCCCACTCTCTTATTTCTCTTTTCTCTTTCTTTCTTGGCTGAAACTAGGGGTGGATTCGAGCTGAGCCGAGCCGAATAGTACCAGGCTCGAGCTCGGCTCGAGACTATTCTACAAGGCTCGAGCTCGAGCTCGAGCTCGGTTCGAGTTAGAACCTTGAGCTCGAGCTCGGCTCGAGTCAAAAGTTCATAAGCTCGAGCTCGGCTTGTTTAATAATCGAGCCATTGAATTGGGCTCGAGCTCGGCTGAAACCGAGCCAAGCCGAGCTCGAGCAGCTTGTGAAAAGCTCGGCTCGTTGCCACCCCTAGCTGAAACCTTTTCTTCTCTTTCTTTTCTTCTTTCTTTTACAGTTTTTATATCAAAATATGTCATCCAAACTTTTCTACTATTTTCATATTTTAGATGTTATTGAAGTTAGGTGGCGTTTAATAAATCTGAAATTTCAGATTTGAAAAGTTAAAAAGGTATTTTTTGTGTTTGAAATCTAAAAAGAGGCATATGTGCTTTTTTACTTCTTAGAGGCTCTAAATCAATAAGTTTGTTTGTGTTGGATCAACCCTTTACCATCTGAAATTTACTGATTTTACTAATTTACCCCTAGAACATACAATTTGGAAATGTTGAGTTCAATTTGCATTATCTCATAAAAAATAATTTTCAATCTCAAAATAATATTGAAACAATACAAATAAAAAATAAAAAATAAAAAAATAATAATTACTAATTACTAAATGAAACGATTAAAATTAAAAAAAAATAATTAATGGCTATAAAATATTAAAATAGTTAATAATATACACAAATAAAAATTAAAATAATTTTTAAAAATTAATGTAATAATTAAAAATTACTAGTTAATAAAAATAATTAATAAATAATAAATAACACAAATAAAATTAATAAAAAATAATTAATGTTTAATAAAAAATATGAAAATAATTAATAATAATAATTATTATTATTACTCATCGAAAGTGGCGATGGCGGGAAGACAGGAGAGAGAGAGAGCCGTTGCAACTTGCAACGATGGTGGCGGGAAGACAAGGGGGAGAGAGAGAACTACTGCTGCAAGTTGTAGCGGCGGTGGCGGGAAGACATGGGGAGAGAGAGATTGCAGCGGCGGAGGCTGGAAGTTAGGGGAGAGAGAGAGAGAGATAGAGTGGAGGGGTATTTTTGACTTTAGGCCACGTTTGAAACGCGTCTGAGCACGTTAAGTGACGGGCTTGAGTCTAAAAATTTCAGATCTGAAAAAACTTTTCAGACCCTATTTCAGATGCAACACCAAACAAAGGTGGCGTCTGAAAAGCAGCATTTTCAGATTCAGACGTCTGGAAAGTGCAATCAAATGCCACCTTAGCAAAACAGGATTCACGTAGCTGACCCCATATAGTTGGGATAAGGCTTCTATATGATGATGATCATGGGATTTTACTGAAGTTGCAGGTTTTGAATTCATTAATGTTTACTAGTTGGCAATGGAGCTGAAAGTCCATAGCATTTTGTTAGTTCTTTTATATGTGAAACATGCAAGAAAAATTCATATATGTTTATGTATTATGCTCTACTACTCTTTTTTGCCTTTTAACCTTCTGTTGAAAATTCCCCTGAAGTAAATACAAAATCTTTTCATGTTAATTGAAAGTATACGCTGCATTTCTTTTTCTTTTTCTTTTTAAGTATGGATAGTCATGTAAAAAGCCTTCGTCTAAGCTACAATTTATTGTTTTGATATATTATTAAAGTTCATTTTGATCCACCTCCTTTTAGTAATCTCCTAATAAAATTTTAAATATTTGGATGGTAAACTTTCAAATTTCACATCCATTTCCTTTGTGTTATAAAAACAAAACACATGAATCAACAAGACATGGAATATGAAAATTGGCCTTTTTGGTTTCCTCCACAGAAACAAGCTTTAAAGTACAAGGATGGGATTAGAAAGTAATTTCATATTTTCAGATTTGTCTTTTCTGTCCTTAAAGTTTCTCAAAGGAAAAGATCATTTATTTATTTTCCAGTCTAGACTGAAAACCATTTACTTGTGTGTGAAGTATACCTACTAAAAGAGGTCAACTCCCTTGTCAGTTTGATCTCAATTCTTGGTGTGTCACTTTGGGCCTAGAGAAAGCATGGGGTTTTCAATATCAATTTCCATGGTGGTTTCTGTGAAAGAAACTTTCCCTATCCCTTATTGGGGAAGGTATGATTATCCTTCCTAGGAAAATCTTTTACTTTCCTTCAAAGCCATGTGATTCCTTTCTTTCCATATGTACCAACAGAAGGGGATATGGACCATTACTCAGAAAATGACACATCTTGGCATGATGGGGACAACATGCCATGCTTGAAGGGCTTCCCTAATAGAATGAGGAGCAGCTCAAGAAGAACACAAGAAGGACCTCATTACAAGGAGTTGATCTCCATGGAAGATCATCTATAGGGAGCTTCACCATATTTGGCCACTATAATTGTCCTCCATATGGCTGAATTCTTGTGGATGGGTATCTAGATACAATTCCCCCATATCGAATATTGATTGTCAATCATTACATATCCCAAAATTTAAAATTTAGTTGATTAAAGTTATTATGGCGACGGTGGAACATTGACTAAGGTCTATGCCTATTTTTTCTCATTATTCCACTGTTGATATCTTAAGAAGTTAGCACATCATTGCTGTGTCTTCCTCAAATGGGGTATCAGTGTAAAAAAACTACTCACCTCTTACACATCCATTCATGAAGATTACATCTAATGGTTGCAGTTTAGGTAATGCTGGGAGTTCAGGGACTGGGAGAACTTTAGGACCTCTAATAGAGAGAATGGCCCTTCTCTCAGGATCTGTTGGACTTGAAGACTCCATGAGGCCAGAATTAATGTCTGCCTTTGAAGGGTCTAAGATTGGGTAGGTCTCTCAACTACAGCAATATAGTAGTGGAGGATGATTCAAAGGTTCTTGTGGCTGTTGAGGAATAACAATGTGGTAACTTGGAAATACTGAATATGCAATCTTCCATTGGATACACAGATCATCCAACAATATGGAAGATGCCTTGGTTAGACAAGGAGTATAGAGGGAATGATTGTTCTGAGGAGTAGTTCCTCAGAATTGAGATTATTTGAAGGAACCTGGGAGTGGCTCCAATAAGTGATAAAACGAAGGAAAGTAGACTAAGATGGTTTGGGCATGTTCACAGAAGATCATCTATGGCACCAGTAAGAAGAAATGATCTGTTACAAGTTGAAGAGGCTAGGAGAGCTGGGGGCAGATAGAAAAGGGCATGTGTTGAAGTAATGAGAAATGATTTAAGGGCCTTGAGTTTATCAATGGATATGGAACCAAATAGAACAGATTGACAGAACAGGATTCATGTAACCAACCACATGTAGTTGGGACAAGGCTTAGATGATGATAATGATGTTTTGAGTGGTTCCCTTGGGGAACTAATTGTAACAAAGAAATGAATATATAGTGCAAGGGGAAGGTAGCAAGGTCTAGCCTACAAGAAGGGGTGCTGGGCAGTCCATACTGTATATTATTCTTTTTACAGTTAATAAAACTATTAATTGTTACTGGTAAAAAAATTCAAAAATTGGAGTCGAACAAAAATTGTGCCCCCAAAACCCATGGAGATCTAGGCATAAGCATTCAAGGACCGTCAACGTTTCTCTACTTGACAAATGGTTTTGGTGTTTCAATGAAGAACTGGAAAGCCGATGGAGGTAGGTTCTTGCATCCAAGTATCACACCAAGAAACTCCTATGGATGTTCTATTAAGAAAAGGACTGAGAAATCCTACTCATAGTTCATAAGAGGCATCTGATACAAAATGGTTGGGGCACATGGGTAAGGTGTTAGAGGGACACATCTTGTGATGATGGCCCCATGTGGAGCTATTCTCATCCTTTTGAACCTATGACTAAATTACCAGGGAAAATTCAAAGTGAGAAACATTGTCTGGGTGAAGCAGGTGGGAGAGTTCAGCAGATGCAGGCTTATCCTCCTTGATAAAATGTTTGTCCACTTCCTGTGCTTTGTTCGATTATGTAGAACTGGATTGGATGCAGTGTTGATGGCAGCCTTATTGTCATAGTAGAGTGACATGGCACTGTCAACTAGGAATCCTAGCTCACCCAACAATTCTTTATCCACCTAACCTCTCTTTTTTAATGATTCAACAGAGAGACTATTCATCTCCCCCAGCCGGCTTCAATTATATATACATACTAATCAAGATTACAAATTAAGAATACCTTAGTTTGATAATGTCTATCTTATTATTATAATCTCAAGTCTCAACAAATTAAGAATATAAAAGAATTTCATAGCAACATGTACAAATTCGTTTGGTGATTAAGTGAGGTGACCCTCCAGAGGCGCCTCATCGCCTAGGCATCAGCTTGACAAATGTGGCCCTAAAAGCTTAAGGTAATGCAATATCAACATGTGGAAAAAGTTAATTGCTTTTGACCTCTATAATGCACAACTGCACTCTGATTTTCTATCTTGTATCCATGTTTTTTAAAAAAGGAGTTTGCTGGTTTTGATTCCGGCTGTTGATTGTAAAATTTTGTTTACTTGAAATTTTATTTTGTTATTTTTAGCTTATAGCAATTTTATTCTTTACAGCACTATCCATTTGAGGATAATTATCCATTCATTTTGTGATTAGCTTCATGGTTCCAGGTTCATGGAAATGTATGTTTGTCCAGCGTTGTTGTAACACAAACTTTGGACTGGAAGCTGCATTCTTTTGATGTTTTATCCGAGTTTGATGGGAAGAATGAAGCTTCTACTGGGCCAATGCTGGTAATATTTTGTTAAAATGTGATGGACTGCTTCTATTTTCTTTTAACTTTCTGGTTGTTTTGTTACAGACCTATTTTAGATGTCATTTCCATTACATGTCTGTTTCAATGTCTTTGCCTTGCTACAAATTGCTGCAATGACATTCAGAAGAGATGTATAAAGCTAAATAGAAAATTGAAGGCAATGTCATCAAATATGACTCATATTTCTTTGTTGATTTGATTGTTATTGGAGTTTGCCAGTTTGTAGCAAGCTCTGTGATTTTTGTATGGGTTATTCTGCAAGATTGGATCTGCTCATCCAAATGATCTTATAGGGATCAGAGGGGAACATTGTATTGGGACCCTGCCCCTTCTCCATGGTCTCAAGCTCCTTTTTCCTTTTTTGTGTTGTGAGAGTAGAGGTAGACAAAGTGGCCGCTTGTTGGGTGATTGATGGCTTTGTAGGTCATTGAAAAACTTGACTAAGGGTTGAGTGCATCGTTCTGAGTTGGTTGGGTTCCATCTTGGGATATATTCTTGTATCTTGAGTATTGAGTTTTAATTTATTGTATCAGTTATCACTTAGATTTTTCTTTCTGTGGCTCCTCTCTCTTATACAGGTGTCCTTTTGTTGTACGATTGCTTTCTTTTTATCTGTATTAGTACACTTTCATAAAAGAACAAGCCTAGATATGCAGGAAACATCTTTTTTTTTTTTTTTTTTTTCTATGAGACATATTTTCTGATTGGTCAATGATAAGGCCCAGAAACCCACTCAAATGCATTTTTCTTAAGAATCTGTGTGAGAGGGGCTGCTAATTCCCCATAGTGCTTAATGAAGCGTCTGTAGTAGCCTGATGAAGTGCAGTGGTTGTTAAAAGATTATGATGACGTTTTCTAGGAGCCAATGGGCCCTCCCCCAGTAAGGGCCCAAGACCACCGTATTCCCATTTATCTCGGGAGCCTCTCCAGCCAATGTACGTTCGTACAGATACCCCCAGTTTCAGAAGACAGAGATTGAAAACATTGTGAAAGTTGCTTCAGAAGGGAATGATTCAGCCCAGTTGCAGTCCTTATTCCTCCCTGGTTCTATTAGTCAAGAAGAAAGACAGTACTTGGAGGTTTTGTGTTGACTACAGGGCACTCAACCACATAACGGTAAAAGATTGTTTTCCCATACCAATAATTGATGAGTTGCCTGATGAATTAAAGATGGCTATTGTTTTTTCTAAATTGGACCTAAGGTTGGGTTACCATCAAATCCGGGTACACCCCAGCGATATACACAAGACTGCATTTAGAATGGATGATAGCTACTATGAGTTTGTGGTTATGCTGTTTGGGCTGATCAATGCACCCTATACTTTTCAAGCTTTGATGAATGATATTTTTTGTCCCTATTTGCACTGATTTATACTTGTATTTTTTTATGACATCTTAGTCTACAACTAAGATTGGGCATCACACTTAGAGCATCTCACAATTACCTTGCAAGCTCTCTGACGTCACCAGCTATATGCTAAGCTCTTCAAGTGTATCTTCGGGCAGACAAGAGTGCACTATTTGGGACATATTGTGGAGGCAGGTTATGTGAGGGCTGATCCTGAGAAAATCAAGGTGATGACAGTTGGCCCAAGCCCACTAATATCTGCAGTCTAAGAGGCTTCTTGGGCCTCACAGGCTACTACAGGCACTTTATTAAGCACTATGGGGAATTAGCACCTCCTCTCACACAGCTTCCTAAGAAAAATGCATTTGAGTGGGTTTCTGGGCCTTATCATTCAATGATCAAGAGATTGCATTCATAAGAGAAAAGTTTGGTAGAAATAGGGTCTCCGAAAAGATCCTAACAAGAAACACCAAGAACCAAGGATAGATTTGTGTAAAACACACCTGCAATAATTCAAAAAAAGAGAAGAAAGAAAAGAAGGGAAGAGAGAGAAGAAGAGTTCTATCCTCTCTCTCACCCCTAATGACATCTTTTATTGTTTTAATTCTAATCTAAGTACAACTTCCCTGAATGCCCTTAATGGGGCAGCCAACACTAAAGAACTAATAAAAAAAAAAAAAAAGAACAAAACAGCCCCATAACTGAAAAATATAGCATAAAACATAACTTAAATTAAATAAAGAGACTAAGGCCCATTCTCACTACAGATAGAAACAATAAGACATACAAAAAAAGAAGAATCCAAAACATACAATCATGTCCATCCTTTTCTTAATTGGTTGGATGACTAACTTTCTTTTGGCCCTTGGAGATAGAATGACTTCATTGGGGAGATGAGATCTGTTGAAACTGTCAGTCTTTTCTTTATTTTAGTGCCACAGGAGCACATGTATAATTTTCTTCCCATTTATTATTAGAGTGGATCACCCTAATATAAATACTAAAGCTGGCACTGCCAAAATCTCTCTCTCTCTCTCTTCTCTCTTCTCTCTGTTCTGATCTTCTACTGATATTTTATCAAGAAAACATGGTATCAGAGTGGCAGATCTAGGATTAGAAGAAGTGCGGCCAGTTTTTTTCTCAGAACCTTTTTTTTTTCTGTCTCTTGTGGATCGAATCCAAGAAAGGGTGCATCGGGTTGACTTGAAAGGAACTTCTGTGTAATTCTTCCCTTTCCCTCTTGGTCGTGTGCCAAGAAAACACCAAGGGAAGGGAAGTCCAATGTTGTGAAGTTGGTTTGTCTCTGTTTTCTCTCAATTTTGTGGATTGAGTGATCTTTCTGTACCCAGGTAAGTGGGTTATGTAGGTCTGATGACCTGTAGCTGCTGCAAAGGTGTGTTTTCTCAGCTTGTGTGGATCAAGTGATTCTTTTTTGTGCCCCGACTGTTCAGACCTGAAATTGATCTTTTTTTTTTTTTTGTCTCTGGAACTAGTTCAATAGTGTGGTAGTCTGAGAATAAGTGCTGTTGTGTGACAACAAGGACTGAATTGTGCCTAAACTGTGAATGAACTGAGAATAAGTACCTTGACTGAACTGTGAGTCTGTGATTAAACTAAGAACAAGTACCTTGACTGAATTGTGACCGAACTGAGAACACGTACCATGTCTCCCGAGGATTCTAGTATGTCTGGTGTGACCTCTAGTCAAGGTGGAGTGAGTGAAGGATTTGACATTGTCAGAAGTCTAGACACACTCAGGATACATGTTGGGAACTTCATAGGAAGCCAAAGTGGGCCCAGGAGATGAGTAAAAATTCAGACCAGAATAAGAAACTGGGATAGCAAGGTCAGAAGAAGTTTAATGCAGCAAACTTAGCCTCTTAGGAGTCTCAACCATCTACCACTACCTTAAGCCAGGGCCGCCCTTTCGTGACTGATCCCAGGGAAGATATCATTAATTCTTTCCATGACCATTTGAAGCTATATGGGAGGGCAATCCGCCAGATGGATTCTACTCCTCCCTCGACTTCCTTTGTGTCTAAATCAGATAATGGTAATTTTGCCACAACTTTCCATGTGTCCTCTCATCCCTCAGATTCCCCTTGGATAATAGATTCTAGAGACTCGAACCATATGATTGGTAAGTCATATTGTTTTCAATCTTATCATCTTTTATTTGGCAGGAACAAGGTGAGACTGGATGATGGCTCTTTCCCCACCATAGCTGGTCAAGGAACCATCTCCCTTCCTCTTGGATTTACCCTTTCTAATGTGCTACATGTTCCAAAACTACCTATAAATTTGTCCTCTGTTAGTAGTATAACAAATTTGTTAAACTGCTAGGTAGCTTTCCTTTCTTGTGTGATAATAGGATTTAGCCTTGGGGAAGATGATTGGTAGAGGTTGTATGGTTGATGGTCTCTACATGCTGGAGATTAAAGATAGTCTTGTGGTTATTGAGTCCAAGAGTCAGTCTAGTAGGAGTAAGTCTATTTACCTTTAGGTCATTTATCTTTTGAGTTATTAAAAGTTTTGTTTCTAGATTTATTTAAGTCATTGTTAGTCTATGAACTCGCATGCCAAAATTTTCAATTAAGGAAACATTGTAGAAATCATTCTGCTTCAAGGAATAATAAATATGATTTTCCTTTCCATATTGTTTATTCTTTTGTTTGGGGCCTTGCTACTTTACCATTTGAGGCTGGCTATAAATATTTCATTACGCTTATTGATGACTACTCCATATATACATGGGTGTATCCCATGTGGTCCAGAGATGAAATACCCAAAATTATAAAAGATTTCCAATGCTTGATATTTACTCAACTTCAGACAAAGATCCAAATTTTCCAATCGGACAATGCCAAAGAGTATTTTCATATTGATCTCATAGAGTTTTTGCTTCGTGTGGGTCCATCCATCGTAGCTCTTGTGCTAGAACTCCCCAATAGAATGGTGTTGTAGAAAGAAAAAACTGCCAACTCCTTGAAGTTGTTCATGGGTTACTCATACACATGAATGTTCTAAAATGTTTTTAGTTGAATGTTGTGTTATGTGCTTCCTACCTTATCAACCATATGCCATCTCTCTTGTTAGGGTACAAGGCCCCTCGTCAACTCTTGTTTCCTGAAGCTCCCTTATTCTCTATTCCTATCTGTGTGTTTGGTTGTCGTTGTTTTGTTCAAGACTTGTCTCCTACTCATGGTAAACTTGATCTTTGTACTATTCATTGTGTATTCTTGGGTTACCATTCTCAAAAGGGTTACCGATGTTTTTACCCATTTCCAGAAAATACTATGTTTCTATGGATGTGTCTTTCTTTGAGAATGATCCTTTTTTCCCTATTTCTCCTCAAGGGGAGAGTAGGGTGGAGGAGAAATGAGTCCAAGTTCTTCCTCCTCTGCCTAACCCTCCTCCATTCTGTTTTTTCCTTCGTCGCCACAAAGGTCAGCTGAGTTCAAGAGTTGTGGAGCAACTTGAAGCTGTACCACCAATATCATCAGATTCACTAGGGACAAATCCTATCCAACTGGGTGCTCTTATTCCTGTTGATGTTTTTGAGCCTATTGCTATTGATACTTCATCTGCTAATGATCTAGACATCACTATTGCACAAAGGAAGGGAGTTAGGTCCTATACCACCAAGCATTCTATCTCCCATTTTGTCTCCTATGAGAACATCTCATCCTCTTTTCGTGCTTTCCTTTCTTCCATTAATAGTGTCTCTATCCCTAAGAATGTGGTAGAGGCCCTCTCAGTACCTGAATGGACAAATGCAATGAAAGAAGAGATAAATGTCTTACATAAAAATGGTACATGGGAGTTAGTGGATCTTCCTAAGGGTAAGGAACCGGTAGGGTGTTCACAATGAAGCACAGGGCTGATGGCACAATAGAAAGGTACAAAGCCTGATTGGTGGCAAAAGGGTTTACTCAGGTGTATGGAGTAGACTATGTAGAGACTTTTTCTCCAGTAGCTAAGATGAATTCCATCAGAGTTTTTTTCTCTCTTGATGCTAACCTTGATTGGGGTCTTCATCATCTAGACATTAAAAATGCCTTCCTGAATTATGACCGTGAAGAAGAGGTGTATATGGTACAACCCCCTGGCTTTAGTGCCAAAGGCAAAGAACAAAAAGTTTGCAGGTTAAAGAAGTCCTTATATGGATTTATAAAAAAAAAAGAAGTCCTTGTATGGACTAAAACAATCACCAAGAGCTTGGTTCAGCAAGTTTCATCTGGTTATGCTGCAGATTGGTTACAAATAGTGCCAGACTTACCATACATTATTTGTGAAAAAAGGAGAAGGAAAGATTGAAGCCTTGATAGTGTATGTTGATGACATAGTGATTGAAAAGTTGAAATTTAGAGGCTAAAGGACCTCCTGGCCACTTAATTTGAGGTGAAGGATCTAGGTCCCTTATGGTATTTCCTTGGAATTGAAGTGGCCTGCTCACAAAAGGGGATCTTCATTTATCAAAGGAAATACATCCTAGATCTGTTACAAGATTCAGGAAAAGTAGGGGTTAAGCTAGCCGACTCTCCCATTGATCCAAACCACAAACTAGGTGACTGTTGTGGTGAGATTATCAAGGATGTAAAGCAATTCTATAGACTTGTGGGAAGGCTCTTGTATTTGTCCATGACCCAGCCAGACATTGCTTATGCCATGGGCGTTCTTAGTCAATTCATGCATGCTCCTAGGACCACACACTTAGAGGCAATTGAGAGAATCCTCAGATATCTAAAGAAGTTTCCAGGAGCTGGTTTACTATTCCAGAAGAACAGGCATTTGAAGGTTGATTTATATACAAATGCTGATTGGCCCAGATCGGTTGATGACAGAAAGTCCACTAGTGGATATTGTACTTTTGTGGGAAGAAACCTAGTCACATGGAGAAGCAAGAAGAAACAAAGTGTTGTGGCTGGGTCTAGTGCTGAAGTTGAGTATAGAGCAATGTCCCATGGAGTGGTTGAAGTTATGTGGATAAAGAATTTGTTGAGTGAGCTGTGTTTTCCAATTGATAGCCCTATGTCCTTGTATTGTGATAACAAGGATGCCATCAACATTGCAGTCAACCCAGTTCTTCATGATAGAACTAAAAATATTGAGGTAGACAAACACTTTATCAGGGAGAAAATTGTTAATGGGGAAGTGTGTACTCCATATGTTAGTTCCAAGGAGCAAGTTGCAGACATATTTACAAAAGGCTTACATCACTTGCGACACAATGACTTATGTGACAAGTTGGGCATGATTGATATCTATGTCCCAACTTGAGGGGGAAACACTTTATCAGGGAGAAAATTGTTAATGGGGAAGTGTGTACTCCATATGTTAGTTCCAAGGAGCAACTTGTAAACATATTTACAAAGGGCTTACATCACTTGCGACACAATGACTTAAGTGACAAGTTGGGCATGATTGATATCTATGTCCCAACTTGAGGGGGAGTGTTGAAACTATCAGTCTTTTCTTTATTTTAGTGCCATAGGGGCACATGTGTAATTTTCTTCCCATTTATTATTAGAGTGGGTCGCCCTAATATAAATACTAAAGCTGGCACCGCTAGCTAGAGATTTTTACTCCAGAATCTCTTTCTCTCTTTCTCTCTTCTCTTTGTTCTAATCTTCTACTGATATTTTACCAAGAAAACAAGATCCTTGTCCTTTACTTTTTGGACAAGACATGTAAGACACATTGTATATGCATCTTTTTTTTTTAGTTTAATGTCAACAAGAGAAGTATAAGGAAATTACTGCTCTGAATCTTAAATTGGAAAATGCCAATAATCAAACCTCTCTAATAAAGTGCTAGTTTCCATGGGCCATCCTATGAGGATAACATCCATCCAATTACTACTTGACAAATCACATTTTTTTTTGATAAGTAACTCAAATTTTATTAATAGTAAGCAGACTCATAAATGTCCCTAGGAAAGGGTTGGAGGTCTACCACTCCTACAAATAAAATTTCCTTTTACAACTTTGTCCAATATAATTCTTCCCTAATAGCCTCTTGTTTGGCTAATGCATACCTGACAAGTCACATTCTATTTGTGATCTTTACAATCTAGACAGAACCTTTTCAGCTTTGCATTAGTTATATTATTTCTAAAAGGCCATTACCCAATGTTGGTCCCAGATATCTGGGGTCTTGGGAGGGATGGCTAGATACAGACCTAATGTTTGTCATTTTTTTGACGCAAAGTGATCACTCTTAGGCTCAAACCCATGTTCTCAACTTTCAATGCAAGAATTTACCATTACCCCAAGCAATGCTGGATGGTCCCACAACCATCAACATTTAATTTCAACCTGTCTGGTTTTGGGGGCCGCTACTGAGGTGAGGCCTGTTTTCTAAGGAGAAATGATTGGCCACCACAGACCATACCTAATGACGGAATCTACATACACTCCTCTAAATTGCTCTCTTATTAATATTTAAACAAAATGACTATTGATCACTAGGTTGAACTTAACAGAATGGTGAAACAAGATTCATGTTGCCAGTCCCATAAAGTTGGAACAAGGCTTGGATGATGATGATGACTACTGATTACTAGGTTGTTGATGATGTTTACATCTTTAATCATTAATCATTGTTGGGTTTCTTTCAGTCCACATGTTCCAAAGAATAACTGTCCTTGTACATTCAAGAGTAGCTTCCCTCTTTTAGTTGATGGAGAGAGGAAATTAGAGCCCAAAATGGGGACAGTGATTTCTTATGGTTGTTATGAAAGTGCATGCCATAAAAAGGTGATTGGAGCACAGTGTCTAGGCATAAGAAAATTGGGGGGGGGGGTCTAGGAATTAGAAGATTCAAAGAATTGAGCAAGGTTTTGTTGGCAAAATGTTTTTTTGTAGGCAAAGAGACTCACTTTGGAGAAGGGTAGTACAGGATGGTGAGGTTTGAATTCTAGTGCGGTATAATCTCCCTATGGGATATGTATTTGGAAGGGGGTGATGAAGTTTCATGAAAAAGTTTTTGGGTGTACAATCTAGAAATGTTATAATTGACCAATGGTTTGGGAAGAGATAGAAGGTGTAGTGCCCAAGATTTAGAAGGAATGGGCAGATTGGAGGAGTGTCTATCATTAGATGCATTACATGCAAGATTGGAGGCATAAAAATTCAACACTTAAAAGCTTGAAGAAAGATAGTGGAAGGAATGGGCAGATGGGAAGTTTATGGTTGAAGTCTTTCTATTCAATGTGAAAGGAATCTAGAGCAGTGATTTGAAAGGTGCACTTAGTTGCATGGGCACTGATGAGGGGAAATTTGGCCCGACCTGTCAACACACGAACACGTGGATAGACCTGATGGCATGGACGACAACTTGATATTTCCTACCACCTCAGCAGGCCAGGTCAGCTCGGGTACCTCGGGCACCTCGGCCAAGACTAAGGTCCGAGCAGCTTGTGATGGCCCGACCTGCCGAGGTGATACGTAGGCAACTTCTAGAAGCTAGCCAGCTGTCTTCGACCTCTCCGGGATCACGCTGCACGTCCACAAGCCTTATCTTATCCCACCCGGATCATACGGACAGTATAAGCCTCATCAGATCACATAAAGTCCACCTCTAGGTGTGGAGCAAACTCCTGGTAACACGGGCCGGGGATCTCGGGGGTGTTTCGTAAGACCTATGGCAGTTTGCCTAAGGGCTTCAACCCCAACACTACAAGGTACGCGCGATTATTTGCTCACTAGCTCTCTAGACTAAATCCTTCAGCCCACAAACTCCACTCACTAACTTAAGTATCGGAGTTCCCACACAGGGTAAGCCACCCGGGTCCTCTGATTTTGCTTTCTTGCAGTTCGACTGGCCAACCTAGCAGACTGACGTCCTAGCTGCCCTCCAGCTAGGAGCAACCAGATTGTGCACCATTAGGCACTGTGCATTTTAGGGTATGCGCCTCACCTAGGCCCAGGCACAACTCCTTTGTTAAATCTTGCACTTTTTTTGTGTTTTCTGAAGCATAGTGGTTGAGCTGGGGACTCCGCCCCTGGATCCCCAACCAAGCCCCTTGAAGCAAGCCCAAACAAATCCATGTTAGGGTCCTAAATTCTTAATTCCTACAAAAAAAGGTTTTATAACTTTAATTATCTGTTTAAGAAGTATCTTTTATTAGGAAGAATGAGCATGTTAATTGTTAAATGGGCTTGCCTCAAGGGGCATGCAGACTTGGTTATTAATTTTGAGGTGTCTTTGTAATATTTATAGACAATAATTTTTCAATGAGTACTTTCCTTTTTTCTTATTTATTCATATATCCTCTCCTTGAATATTATGAAAAACAAAAAAGAAAAAGAAAAAGAAGCAAATAAAGAAAGAATAATAATTGAAAAGTGATGTAGGTAACAGTACCTTAGGTTTCCTTTTGGATTTTTGGTCTGATCTATTTGTGCTTTGTCTTTTAGTATGGTTAGAACTTTTGAAGTTAGTTTGAGTGAGCTGAGGTGATTTCTCATGAAAAAAAAAACTTTCATGCAGCAATATGAATGGCTAATTGGATCACAATACAAGCCGATGGAGCTGTCAAAATCTGACTGGGCACTTATCAGAAAATCTCCACCATGGGCTATTGATTCTTGGGGATTAGGTTAGTCCTTAACTTCTTTTTTCAGACTCAAAGAACATTGGAATATGAGTGTGACTTCTATTGCATGGAATTTGAAACAATATTGTCATGAAATTATTTGATGGGAACAAGAAAAATAAAACTGATAAGAATTAAGAATAAAGAGTATGAAGAAAGAGGGATTAGAGAAGAAAGAGTGAGATGAGAGATCATTTTTGTGAATAAATCAAAGAATACGGCCATCCCAAAATTAAATGATGTGATCCATAAGCAAAAACTCATAAGAAGACTTAACTGCCTATCTAAAAGAAATAATAACCCAACTGAAACTAGCTTATTTCTTACAAGGCTTCAAAATCTGATAAATGTTTTTAATGTGTCTTTTTGGGCGGTTAGGTTATGAATGTTCTTTTCTCTAATTTTAATTTTCTTCTGGAATGTAAGTTTTAAATATTATATTGTTCCTTCAGGTTGTCTTATTTATGAGCTCTTTTCTGGGATGAGGTTGGCAAAAACTGAGGATCTACATAACACTGGTTCCATTCCAAAAGTGAGCATTTACAACCTCATTTAGTTTTCCTAGTAGTTAAGCTGGAACCTCATGCAACATTTGGGGTTTCTGTACTGAATGTCAGCCAACAGACAGCCCAAAATACACTGCTGAATTTCATGAATGGGCTATTAACTCATTTCAGGATCTATAAAAATGGGCTTTTGTTTCATATTCAACATGGAAGTTTATTACAAAATGGAGACATCCATTATCTTGATATGCCCAATTGGAAGGACCATATTTCTATATCTGGAAGTTTATGCATGTTTTTAGAAGTTTCTCCATCTTTCTTACTCTTGGAAAATTCAATTCTTTTTTCACTTATCCATTCTTTCCTCAGTCTCTACTTCCAGATTATCAGAGGCTTTTGAGTTCAACACCTGCTCGTCGATTGAATGCTTCAAAGCTTATAGATAACGGTGGTGAGTCCTTTCTTTTCTAAGGAGTTTCTGTACACACCTCACATTTAAATGTGGGCAATTTTTTACATCTATTAATTCTATTGTAATATTAATATTTTGACCTTTTTTTTTCCTATTAGCTTTGCTTTCTGAAACAACTAATTAGTCTGCAATTCATATAAGTTGTTGAAGATTTATTTTGAGAATATCTAGAATATTGACATGTATCAATTTCCACTCCAAGTTTAGCTAGATCTTCTTGTGGAATTGCATCTATGTTGTGTCTAGACCAAAGAAATGGAGATTAGTCTGTTCAGATCTGTTTGTTTTGTTTTACAAATGAAATTATAGAGTTCTTCATTTGGAATTATCAGAATTGGGCACTATCGATAGAAATATCATGGCTTAAAACAAAAGATAACCATCTCCGTCACCTTGCTTCTAACCCTTGAAACTATTGCTGCTTTTTGTATAACAATTTGAATGTTTTTGACTTTTTTCCCTTGTCGTCCCATCTTTCATAACAGACAGAGAGGTTGGAATTGTTAAATGGCTTAAAGAAATTGTTTTCCTCCAACACCAATTCATACTGATGAAGTGGTTCTTTGAAGTACAATATTACTACCCTTCTCTGATTTTTGTATCAATGGATAAATTTAATTGAGAATATATCAACAAAGGGAGAAGGTACAATAAAAAAGGCATTCCAGGATTGGAGAGGTCAACCTGCAAGAGATTACCCCTCCTATTGTAAATCTGGAAGCATCCCACAACAATAACTCCAAGAAGAGCAAACCCCCAAATTGCTCCTGTAAATTTCTCCTCTGGAACCAGAAGAATAAGATATTTTCTCTGGCAGCTAAGGATCTAGCCTCCCTCGTAGTGTGCTGCAAAGTACAGGGCCCTCTCAATCATTCTTCACCCATCTTTGAGTCTCCCTCATTCTCCATTGATTATAACCAAGAGATATATCATACAGTACCCGAAGTAGTGATGTTGTCTCTACATCAATGTAGTTTTCATGGTCCATGGAACCTAAGTAAACCAGAGAAAAATCTTCCTCATGATTGATGTGACTCCAACTCTTGAAGGATCTGGATTCCCAAGGGAGTAATCACTAAAATTCAATGTGATTGCTCCTTGAAATGGAGGGTAATCATTGTTAATGAACAATAGACCTACAGTTGATGAAGATTATACATGAAATCTTCTCCAAACAATTATCAGCAACCAAGAAAACCTGAAATTGTTGTCTGTTATGCAGATCCATGGAATTTTCTCCAAACAATTATCAGCAACAGAGAAAACCTGAAACTGTTCTCTGTTGCGACATCCATGGAATCTTCTCCAAACAATTATCAGCAATGGGGAAAACCACTATTAATGAGCAATAGACCTATAGTTGATGAGGAATACATACAGAAATCTAGTTTTGCGCTTACTTATAAAAAATATCTAGTTTTGCGATTCATATTTATGTTTGACTCTTTGAGATGCGACTCATGTAGCCAACCGGATATAGTTGGCATAAGCCTTGGATGATGATGATGATGATGATGATAATGATGATTCACGCTGATTCTGGGTATCTATTAGATATCCATGAGAGAGGACTTTGTTTTCTGGTTTCCACTGGGAGTGCAATTTGTGAGATAGGAACTACATTCTACTAGAGTGAAGTCCAGAGGAGGATCCCCTCTTGAATGGTGGACAAGGTTCCAGAGCATGGAAACTACACTCATCAGATTAAAATTTTCTGCATAATTCATATCCATGTCAACTCTGAGATATTTCTGTTGGAAAGTAGAAGATTGACTCTTTGATTGATTCTCCATAATTTTAGGTCCATCAGTTTAGGAAACTTAATTTCCTAGAATCATGGGATA